TCATAAAGCTGCTTTCTGATGAGACGTTTCATACGATATTTTGACCAAACTGATCATACATATGATTAGGTGTTTGTACGGGACAATCAGTTAATAATGTTCATACCTAAAGGTTAAGATTATCCACTTGCAAATTGACAACTAGATCATCATAAAAATAGGTGTTCGTACAAATGATGCTTAAAAAATAATTGTCATTGGAATACCCGTGAGGATCGTACAGACAAAAAATTGATGGTTCGTACATATGAATATGTGTTCGTATGGTACGATCAATAACAAAAAACATATTTTCATCAGTCCAATGCAAAAAAGAAATAATGTAAAATCTGGATAATTCATATAGTACGAATTATGTTCTTATAGTACGAATAGAGAAAAAATTAATTTTTCACATTATGATCAAAATACTCTTCAAAAATAAATTCATGCAAGATTCACAAAAATGATAAACTAATAATAAAATGAAATAAAAATCAAACACAAAATACAAAATCAACCACAAAATGGAGAAAAAATAACCATGCCAAATCACAAAAACAAAGAACATCACACAATCATAAACACAAAAGATATACACTACAATTTCATTTTACAGAATTACAATTGTCAATCATGAATATCAATAACACCCAATATGGTTCTTAAAGTGCTGAAGTCTTAAAAATAAATTCATGCTCAATTTCTTCTTTTGTAATATGATCTCTAATGAAGTGATATTTTATGTTTATATGCTTGGTCATAGAGTGTTGGATTGTATTTTTTGAGATGCAAATGTCAATTGTATTATCATAAAAAATTGGAATAATATCAATTGTAAAACCTAAATCCACTAGTTGTTGTTTTAATCATAGAACTTGTACCATTCAACTTCTTAAGGCTATGTATTCTGCTTCAGCAGTAGAAAGAGCTATTGAATTTTATTTTCTGTTAGACCGAGAGACTAAGGAGTTCTCTATGAATTGACAAGTTCTAGAAGTACTATTTCTATCAATCCTACATCTTGCAAAATTTAAATAAGAATATCTATGATACCAAATCCCTAAATTTTGAGTTCCTAAAAGATATATCAAAATTCTTTTAACAGTAGTTAGGTGAGATTTTTTTAGATCAGCTTAAAATCTAGCATACAGATAAATACTACACATGATATCAGGTTTGCTTATAATTAATAAAGTAATGATCCAATCTTTACTTTAATTTTTTTTTTATCTACAGATTTGCCTTTGGAATCCGTATCTAACTAACCTAAGGAACTCATGGGAGTATTTATTAGTTTAGCATTATCCATTTCATATTTTTTAAGGATGTACTTAATATACTTTAATTGACTAAGAAAAGTGTCATTCTCTATCTACTTAATGCTAAAACTAAGAAAGTAGCTTAAGTCTCCCATCAAACTCATTTCAAATTCCTTACTCATTATTATTAAAAAGTCATCAAAAAGATTTTTATGAGTGGATCAAAATAAGATATCATCAACATAAATTTAAACAATAAGAATGTCATTTCCTATCCTTTTCTAAAGAGAGTGGTGTCCATACTTCCTTAAACAAAAGATTTTTCTAGTAGGAAAATGCTTAACATTTCATACCATGCACTAGGTGCTGTTTTAGTCCATACAATATTTTCTTCAATTTAAACACATGATTAGGAAACTATGAATTTCAAAACCTATAGGTTTCTAAATATAAACATCTTTTTTTTATCACCCCATTAAGAAAAATACTTTTAACATCTATTTGAAATAATTTAAATTCTTTAAAATATGCAAAATCTAGAAGTACCATTATTGCTTCAAGTCTGGCTACAGGGGGCAAAAGTCTCCTCAAAATCAATTCTTTCTATTGGATTTTACCCCTTGGCCACTAATTTTGCCTTATTTTTAACTAGTACACCTAAATAATTCATCTTATTTTTGAAAACCCACTTCATTCCAACAATACTTTAATTTTTAGGTTTTTCTACCAATTCTAAAATATCATTTCGAAAAAATTGATTTAATTCTTCTTGCATACCTAAAATCTAAAATTTATTAGAAAGTGCTTGATTCATATTATTGGGTTAAATCATTGAAATAAATGCTGAGTGGTTCCTTACACCTTTACTCGTGTCTCCTAAAATAAGTTATTTATGATGACTTTTAGGATATTTCGGTTCTCTATGCACCTTATTTTTTGTTTCAACCTTTTCTTCAAGATTTACATTTTCAATTCCTTGGGTATTCTCTTCAATATCTTCTTCTTCTAACATAGACCCTCTATAAATATCATATTTATCAAAAACTACATGAGTGGTTTCCTCTACTACCAAAGTTCATTTATTAAAAACTCTATAGGATTTACTAACAATTGAATATCCCAAAAAATTCTTTCATCAAATTTTGGATTAAATTTTCCTATAAGAGTTTTCTCATTATTATGAATGAGCAATTTACATTCAAAGATATGTAGGTGTGAAAGGTTGGGTATTCTATCATTAAGAAGTTTAAAGGGTGTCTTATTGAACTTAGATCAAATATTTTCCCTATTTAGAATATAACATATTGTATTAACCATTTAAGCCCAAAGATATTTAGGAAGTGAATATTCAACCAATATGGCTCTAGCAGCTTCTACCAAAGTTTTGTTCTTCCTTTCAAAAATCCCATTATGTTAAAGAGTCTAAGGGACTAAAAAAGACACCAGGGTCAGAAAGACCATTGTCTAGCGATGTAGGTCAGAAGGACCGTAGTATGCATAGACTGAGGTTAGAAAGACTGATGTTTGGCGATGTAGGACGGAAGGACTATGGTAGGCGACGGAGGTCGGAAGGACCATAGGCGGCAGGAGATAGGGGCAAAAAATATCGTTGTCTGGCAATGTAGGTCGGAATGACCGTAGTATGCATAAGACTGAGGTCAGAAAAACTGTTGTCTGGTGATGTAGGTTGAAAGGATCGTAGTAGGCGACAGAGGTCGGAAGAACCATATGCGTAGGAGACATGGGTCAGAAAGACTATTGTCTAGCGATGTAGGTCAGAAGGACTGTAGTAGGCGATAAAGGTTAGAAGGACCATATGCGGCAGGAGATAGGGGTTAAAAAGACTGTTGTCGTAAGGCAGTACTCTAGTAGAACTCTGGGCATGAGGTGGTGGCCCAGCAAAAGTTCGGGCCTCAAGGTAGTGGCTTGGTGGAGCATAGAGCCTCAAGTGGTGGTCCGGTGGAGCAACGACGTCAAGCGGTGGTCCGGTAGAGGAGAGGGTCTCAAGTAGTTATCTGGTGGAGCAACGATGTCAGGCGGTGATCCGGTAGAGGTGAGGGCTTAAAGCGGTGGTCTGGCAAAGCAACGACGTCGGGCGGTGGTCTGGCGAAGGTGAGGGCTTCAAGTGGTGCTCCGGCAGAGCAAAGACGTTACGGTGGAGGTGAGGGCCTCAAGTGGTGGTCTGGAAGAGGTGAGGTCCTTAAGTGGTGGTTCGGTAGAGCTCAGGCCCTCAAGTTGGGGTCCGGCGGAGCAACGTTGTTAGGCGGTGGTCCGATGGAGGTGAGGGCCTTAAGTACTAGTTCGACGGAGCTCAGGGTCTTAAGTAATGGTCAAGTGGAGCACAGAGCAGTGGTGGTCCGGCGGAAAAACGACGTCAGGCGATGGTCCGATGGAGGTGAGGGTCTCAAGTGATGGTCCAAGAGAGCAACAACGTCAAGAGGTGGTCCGGTGGAGGTGAGGGCCTTTAGTGGTGGTTCGGCGGAGCTAAGGGCCTCAAGTGATGGTCCGACGGAGCAACGACCTCAAGCGATGGTCCGACGGAGGTGAGGACCTCAAGTGGTGGTCCGACGGAGCAACGACGTTAGACGGTGATCTAACGGAGGTGAGGGCCTCAAGTGGTGGTCCGGCGGAAGTCCGGTGGTGGTTGAGGTGAAACTTCTTCCTTCTCTTCCATCTCTTCTTCCATCTTGTTTGGGTCCCGTCTCAAGAGAAATGAGGGGACTATTTATAGATTTTTGGAGTGGCATGTCTCGTAAATATGTGAGAGATCAAGGGTAAAGGGGGAGTGGTTGGATGGACGGCCGATATTGAATCCCTTAATCGTGCACCGTTCGTTAGACATTTAAAGGTCTTAATGATGTCGGAGATCTTGGGCTCGTTGGATTCGTCTCGTCGAGCTGCTCGATTTTTCCATAAGCTCTTTATGTTTGGAAACCGTTTGGTAATCCAAATCTTGGTTCGAACCTTCTAACAGCGCCTCAAGTCCTTGATTTGGGCTCATTTGGGCTCGGATTGAGTCGAATTTGGTGTCGTTGGGTTCGTATTTCCTAGAAGCTCAGTTTGACTGTATGTTTGCTGAAATCAGAGTTCATGTGATCCCGGATTTAATTTTTGAAATTTCCAGCTAGATTTTGCCTCGAGATTCGTGACCGATCGGGATAATTTTTTTTATGATATATCAATAGGATATCATTTCTATTGATGACTAGTAACTTAAAAGCCGCATTGACTCAATTTGTAACTTAAGTGCTGACAACTTATTAAATCCAATTTATTTTAACAATATTAATTGATTAAATTTGACCTAAAGATATTAGATATGCATAATTTTATAAAAATCATTCCACTAGAATGTTATCAGTGATCCCTTTTCAATCAAATAATTATAATTTTATTAAACTCATTATTTTTATTTTTAAAAATCATTCATCTCACCAATTTTATCAAAAAAAAAAATTTAGCTCTTATAAAAAATCCGATTAGAAGCTTCGTGTGTATATATATGGAGGAAGAAATTATTTTGTGCAGAGTACGAATGAGAAGAACCATCCGAATTGTTGAGTATTTATTGAATATTTGTTGAGTATTTATAAATTCTTAGCAAATACTCAATAAATAAAAAGTAGATCAGCAAATATTCATAAAATACTTAGCAAATATATTCACTGAGTATTTAAAAATATACAACAAATAATAAGTAAATATGTATTAAATCTAAACGTTCTTCCCATCCGAACTCAAATAATAATTGCTCTCATATTGGTGTAAAACACATGTGCCAAAAAATAATCAGCAAATAGATTTTATAATGCATCCATCCATTAATTAATTTATTCAATCAATCAATGATAAAAAGAGCCTTCTGTGCAATTCGATGGATGAAATCTGAGCCGTTGATTCTTCAAATCAAACTCCCATATATGTTCCTGCTGCAGTATATTCCCAATCGTGGAAACCCCCGGCCAAGGCGTAGAACTAAACCCGATACACTTAACCCCATCAGCCACATCAATCAAATAACTCTTCCTCGGCGGCGTCAGATTCCCCGATCCCGTAAAATGAACAGTCAAGCCCGGCACCGCAGTTGCAGCGGCCGCCGCCGTCGTCCAATTATAGCAATACTGAAACGGATCAATCTCGACACGGGGCACGTTAATCAGCTGGGTACTTATCGCAGAAACAACAGCTTTATAAGCCGGTTCGGCGAGAATCGTCAGCGTCGTGCCGGAATCCAGAATAGCTCCGCCGCCGCTACTATCGTTCCAAACACTGGCCGGAATTGGAAGGAGTTCGCCAGCCACTGAGATTCCAGTGACGGAAATATAATAGAAAGGCTGGAGCTTTGGTTCGAGGATTAGGCGGGCAGAGGGGGAGTGAGGGAAGAGGTCGGGGTTCGGGCCGAAGGTAAGATGACCGGTGGCGTTTCGTGGGCTGAGATGGTCGACGAAGCAGTAGGAGAAAAGGTTACCGAACTTGGCGGTGGCGCGAGAGACGAAGGTGTTCGGACCGTAGCCGAGGGCGAGCACACCGTCGGCTGAGATGAAGCTGGATCCCACAGAAGTGGATGTGCAGCCGATTATTAGACCTTTTAGTTTCATTCGGTGTCCGTTCAGTAATTCGACCGTTGCTGACTCGTTGGCGAAGATGCCTTGGGCCGATGAGCCTTCGGCGTACCTGAAGTAAAATTAGCAAAATATATATATATATACTGCATAATTTTTCCCATTTTAGAATTAAAAAACAATTTAAATATAGAAATATTACTTGCTACTGGAGTTATATTTTATATTTGTTCCCCTATAAAGATTACAAAGCAAAGTGAAGAATTAATTTAGAATTCAATAACAATATAAATGAATTTTACTTTCATTTATTATAATGAAAAAAATAGATATTATGTTTTGTGATTAATTTTTTTAGAAAATTTCTCATAGAAAGAATTAAAAAACTTCAGATTCATAAAAAATTGAGTTTTCTTTTAATCTAAAAATAAAAGCAAATTTTAAATGTTTATTAATGTCTAAAATATTATAGATTATCAAGTTTGGTGTTACATTAAATAAACATTCATCTTCATGCATAATCATATATCTATCTAATAATTCTCATTAATTAATTTATACCAGATAAACATTTAAGCTCGATAGTACATCCACATTTTCAAAATTACATCACTTTTAATTTTTTATTTTATATATAATTTTTTTTGCAATTTGTTCATATTTAAAAAAAGGGATATGTCAATTAATGTGTTTGGATTGAATTAATATTACTTTATTTTTAGTAATTAATTACCGCGTAAATATATATACCCAATTCCGGTGAATTAATGATGCTGGCAACCTAATCTTGAGCTGTGAAGAAACAACAGCGTCTATCTTCACTAAACATGTAAAGAATTGACACGTGGATAATAAACAGAGAATGTTTTATCGTGGGTGAGTGTCAAAAAGCAGTTGGATAGTAAGGTTAAGTTTTGTTGTAGCAAGAATGGCTAGGAAATAAAAGCAATGAGCAGAGTGATAATTAATAATAATAAAGCGCACGACAATTAATGCAACTACTACTACCAATATGCACAATCCACGAGAAAACAGCTATGCATTAATCGCTATCCGTAGCCTCTCCGTGCTATATCTGCTAAGCCACGACCACGACTTTTCTTCTAAGAGATTCCTTTTGGGGAAAAAAATTTTATCACTAATACGATTGTATAATCTTTTATTTTCATTAATTTATTTACTATTAAAAGATATTTTAAATTTTATTAATTATTTTCTTAATTTTTTTAAATTTTAAATAAGTATCATAAGTTAGATTTAAACAATATTTGAAGAGAATACTTTATTTAATTCAAAAATATTTAACAACATTTTCACAAAAAGTTTGATTATAGTCAACATTAAAAAAATAATATTTTGTTAAAAATTAATTCAGTTGTTTGAAAATTATTTTTAAATAGGAGAGCTGAAAAAAAAAATCGGAATGAAGTTGTTTGAAAAATTATTCTTAAATAGAAAAACAAAGTGGGCGTTCCCACGCGAACGAATTCGGGCTCTTTTAATAAGTCTCCTATCTAAGAAGTAAAAAATAAAAAATTATAAAAAAAGGCTCTATCTTTTTATTTTGTATAAAAATGTTTAGTTAGGCTTTGCAATTAATGCTAATTTGTGCAATTGAAGAAATGCAATTTGTGATATCAACTATTATAATTAATAAAAAATTAAACTCATTGTCAAAATTTCGATCAAAAATTTTTTATACATAAATTTACATTTAAAGACGTGAAATTTTCGAAAAAAGACCCATATACCTTTAATTTGCACTATAAACATGGAAGTTTATTTTTTTAGCTAATTTGAGTAGATAATGTGCTCATCATAAATACCGTGAATTAGCATCATAGAGAATAATATTTTTAAAAGCATAATAACATTTATTATTATTATTTAATAGGGGAAGTTGTATGATACAGGAAATGGGGAAAATGGCACATGTGTTCTCAGAATGAAGCCAAAATGCAAGAGTCTTTCACTCGAATTCAAAATTTCACGAATTAAAGAAAAGTGTAGGTTTCTAAATAGCGTTTCTTAGGGGTTTAGATGAAAAATCACCGGACTATTTGATGTCCTACCAGTGAAAAGTAACATGATGGAAAGAATTGTGTTGGACTTTGGAAGCTAATAATTTTCTTTATATCAATTTTAATAATAAATATAATTTTTTATAATTATTGTCTAATAATAAAAATTATATCTAATTTAACTAATTTTAAATTATTTTACGATTATATTATAATATTAAAAAAGATAAAGTCAGCTTTAAATATTCTGATTGAACTTTTTTATAAATAACGCATCAAATATGATATAATTTTAATCATGTATTATATTCATTTTAATAAAAATTTAGGCGACATCATTTTTTAAATTTCGATTATAAGATTAAAATTTTAATAATATATATTAAAATAAAATAATAAAACTTCAAATTATTTATAGAAGTTTAAAAAGCATTGAATCGATGTGAAATGTTATTTTAGGGGGATTTTAATGCGAAATGTAAACATTCTAAAGACATTCAGACCAAAATTAATTAATTGAGAACGATACGTACTGGTAATCGTAAGCGCAAGGGCTCGCCGGCGTAGGGCAATCGACAAGAGAGAACGGAAGCTCCGTCCGATAAGTCTGACGACAGCACGAAATCGCGCGGAATGACCTCGATAGATCCCGCATTGAAAACCTCTAGAGCCTCACTACCGCCGCCTGCCAGTTAACATCAGGGGAACGGAGCCGTTCGAAATCGGCGCCAACCAGTGGTACTGGGCAAGTTACCCAGGTGAGATCACTCCCGGTGTCGGTAACTAGGCAGAAATTGGCTTCGCCGGCGTGGCCTAAGCCGAACCCTAACGAAGTTGTCGCTCGTCCCCGTGTAGCCCCCCGACCAAACCGGCATTTTCGATGTGCCGGCGATGGCGGACTGAGGCAAAGCCCTCCGCCGCCTTCCGATCTTATCGAAATCAATTCCTCTGCCGCCGTCGATCGCCGTGTATCATCGTTCGAAAGGATTTCTTCTAACGTGCGCGAGATCCCCGTTGATTCCGGTCTACGGTGGAGAGTCAGCCGATATGAGAGTCCGGCGGAGAATGCCGGCACCGTGCCGACGAGAGGATTAGAAAGAAGAGAGTTGGGGATGGAATCTGGTGGGGCATTGGAGGGAGCCGGGAAAATAGAACTTCGAAGAAGTCGATTCTCTTTCCGCGCTTCATAAGAAGAGATGCTTTCTCTACCATTTCGCTAGCAATCTGGATTAGTTTTTATCAATTTCAATCAAACTCCGTATCTGTAGCTTTTCTTGTGTTGAGTAGCTTGGCAGTATGCTCTCGATCAAAGTGTTTGTGGTGTGGGTTTTAGGCTAAGTGTCGTATTTATCTGAAGCTTGTCGTTGGGGGTAAAAGACGCGCTTTTTTTCTTTTAATTCCATTCTTTGACATGCGCAGATTTGCTCAAAACTTTGTTTCAGAAATAATATAAAATAAAATTAATTTATTAAAATAATAAATTTATAGTTTTCTAAAAAAAAAAAAAAGATTGAATATGAATATTAATGACATATTAGAATTAAAAATTTTGTAATTATATTCAGAATCAATCATTCAAACTTCAATTCCCGACGAAATTACAGTTAAACTAAGAAACGCGTCCCACAAGTAATCTCATACAAGTTTGAAAGAGCTCAAGCAAGTATATGAAAATTCAGAATATCATTTGAATGCAATTCCAACAAATTTATAGTTGAACTAAATATGTCGATATCAGTGTATAGATCCAAGTCCCAAAAGGCATAAATTTTCCTACTTGAAGCATGATTGAAAATCTCATAATATTAATTCATGGCCAGATGAATCTCATGAATCGCGATCGATGCACATTAATCAAACTAGGTGTCTTGCCGAGATTAATCAAATACTCAATAATCAACATTAATTCTAATCACACAATAATGGTTAGAATAACATCAAGATGGTGTTTTTAAGTCTGCCTCAAGAAACAATATTTTATGTAATAAAGAGTAAAAAAAAAATATTAATGCTTTTGACATAGGGTGTAGGCATGGCTAGGCCTTACATATTTTGGGCAAAAATAGATGGGCTATGCATGATGTAGGTGAAACAGTGGGGAGGCGAGTTGCATGGGTCGGTGGGAGATGTGGGGAGGGTTAGCGGGTTGGCTCAAGACTATGGCTTATGAGAAAGTCAGTAGGTAGCACGGGTCCCCTTTTTCCCTCTTTCCATCTCCTAAGTTTAGTCCCACCCTGCTTACAAGGATGTTTAATTTGTGTATGAAAGTAATATATATATATAATATATATATATAATATAATTAATATATTGAG